ACATAAGAAGTAAAGCTTCTTTCAGCATAGAGCTGGCACAGTAGAGGACTGGGACATTTTAACAATGACACCATCAGCAGCTGTCTGTCACTTGTTACCCTCTCCCTCATCCTGCCCCTCTCAGGCCTATTCTGTCTGCAGGCAGCTTAGTGAGTGGGTGGGTAGATAAACAAGAAGGGAGCGGTGCATGTCCTTGATCACCTCTTCATTGAAGAGCTTGCTGGTGTCCTTCTTGATGAGGTCTAGGTACTGCACCTGGCCAGCAGAGAAGCCCACCAGCAAGGAAATGGTCTCTGTGGCCGCTGTAAACTGGTTGAAGTCATGGCAGGTGGGCTGGGTCCCCTTGTAGATCCGCTTGTCGATGGGCTTGTTGAGGTCAATGGACTTGAGCCATGGGAAAAGACAAGTTCGCAGGTTAGAGCAGGGAGAGGGCGGAAGAGGAAGCTGAGGTAGGGGGGAACCACCAAGGGGAAGCAGGGTTAACCTCGAGGGAAGTGGCTGGGTGAGGAGGGGCAGGCAACCACAGACTGGAGGGGGCTCAAACCTAGAAGGACGGCACACACATGCTCACTTGCACTCCACCCAATAAAGACAACAGACCCTTGCAAGGCTTAATTTAGGGTTACTGCTGCTCACAACCTCAGGGTTCAGAGTCCCTAAGAACCTGGAGCTGATTCTCCTCAGGTCTTTCCAGCCACTACCACAGGACAACTCCAGGGGACTTAGAACAAAATTCCAAAACCCAAGGACTCAAAAATTCCAATATCCTAGGTTTTCAATTTTTTTTTGTACATTTAGTATATACCTGTGCACATGTGTATGCATTACACACGTGGGCGAGAGGTCAGAGGTCAACATTTAGCATCTTTCTCTGTGGTTTTCCAGCTAACATTTGACACAGGTCTCTCACTGAACCTGGAGCTCACCGGTTCAGTTAGGCTGGCTGCCAGTAAGCCCTGAGAATCCTTCTGCCTCTGCTCCCTGAATTGGGGCTGCAGACATATACAGCTGCACCCTTCTACATGAGGTACCGGGATCCAAACTCCTGTCCTCATGCTTTCAAAGCACGCATTTCATCCACAGAGCCATCTCCGAAGCTTCATTTCTTCCCATTTGGAGTTCCTAAACTTTAGGACCTTCATCGTAGTTCAGACACTGCTCAATCATCACGATGGTCCCTCGTTATTTTAGGTACACAATCACCCCTGGGCTCTCAGGATCCCCACCTCTCTCTCTTTCCACCACCCTTACCCTTCTGGGACTCAATGGCTTTAGAGATGTCTGCCACACCTGGGGATGTTCCCCTGCCAGGAACTCCATTAACTCAGAATTCCCATCATTCCTCCAAACTCCCTTCATTTCCTCCAAAGCCTCACTCTCTAGACAACGTATTCTTTAGGATCTCATTCACCAGTTGCTTTGTTCACTGACCCCTAAGCTACACCCCCAGTCCTCCCTGCCTTTTACCTGTAAGACTCCTACCTTTATCACTCACAAATGCCTGACACAAGTCTCCAGACTCCCTCCAACACGCCAAGAATGCAGTATTTCTCCGTTCCCCATCTCCCCTGGGCCTGCATCCTCTTTGGATTCCCCATCGCCAGCACAATGTCTGCCCCTCGGACTCCGTAACCCCGCCCCCATCTCCTCTCAGAAGCTCCAACCCGTCCAGAACGCTCACTCACCACCTCCACGAACCACCCCCCCACGCGAAGATTCGCCTGCAACCTCTCAGACTCCATTAGCTCCAGGAACCAGGCTCCCCTGGGACGCCCAACCTCGGATGCCTTCTGTCACTCCGGGGACCCAGATGCTCTCGGCACCCCACGAATCGGAGCACTCACCCGTTGGCTCCCGCGGCGGCAGCAGCCGGGGTAGAAGTAAAGCTCGCGGCCCAGGTTGAAACAGACGCGGTCTCCTCCCGCACCCAGTCCCGAGGGCGTGGAGGGCGGCTCCCCGGCGCCATCGGGCTCGCCAAGGCGCACCAGGCTGAGGCGGACGGCGGGCAGCGCGGGCCCCGGTCCGGGGCCGGCGGGCGGCGGGGACGACGCAGGGCCCGCGGCGCCAGGCCCTGAGGCTGCGGCAGGTCCGGGAGGGGGCTGAGGGGGCTGCGGCGGCGCCGGGGTCTGGGCGGAGGCTGGACCCGACCTGCGTGTCGCGTCGCCGGGAAGCAGCTTGTAGAAGCCCTCGCGAGTGCGAAACTGCGACTTGATCTCAGCGCAGTCGCCCATGGCGGCGCTGGGGCCCGCGCCGCCCTCCGCGCCGCCCGCCGCCATCTTGGCCGCCCACCGGGGCCCCGCCGCAGCCCCACCGCCAGCCGCCGGACCCCCCAGCCGGAAATTGCGGACCTAGCGCCGGAAGGGGTAGGGTCGTCGCCCGGGTGACGCCTCTACGATTGGCACCCGGAACCGAAGGTGGGCGGAGCCGAGACTGTTGCTGAGGTAACGGTTCTGGGGCTGTGGGCGGGGTGATGATATGGGCGTGGTCGACGCGACAGACTCGGGCGAGTGGTTGGCTACAGGGCGTGGCCGCTAGGAACGCCCTAGGCCCTAACAACAGCGCCCTAGGAGCCGTTTGCCTAGCAACGTTGAAACCTCAAGTGCTATTCAGAATCCTTGTGTTGTTACAGCTGACTCCAGGCGGGTTTTTTTTTTTTGCCTTTTTATTAATTAAAAAAATTACTGCATTTATTTATTTTTGTGTTTTTGCGTAGTCAAGCGCAATGTAGAGGTCAGAGGGAGTCAAGTCCCCTCCCACCGTGTTGGTCCTAGGGATCGGAATCAGATCCTCACCCTTGGCAGTAAGATCCTTTTCCCGCTGAGCCATCTCGCTGACCTTTGTTTTGTCTCACACTTAGAGCCCAGGCTGTCCTCAAACGTGACCCAATCCTTTTCGCCTCAGCCTCCAGAAGAGCTTGGCTTTCAGGCCTGAGACACCACACCCAGCTCCTAGTTTCATTTGAAGCTCAATGACTTACTTCTCCAACCTTCATTGTCTACCTGGCAGCCTAAAGCCCTTCCCTTCCTCATTGTGGTCCCCTCCTGCTGGAGGAGTGAAGTAAAATCCTAAAATCCTCTTGTGACCTATCTGACTCGGCCTACCTTTTTCTTGGCTTTGTTCTTCGTGAGAGAGGTCAGCTTTGTCAATTTGACACCACCTAGAATCACTTGGAAGACAGTCTCAATGAGGGACTGTCCATAGGGTAAAAGGGGCCAAGGAAAGAACACTCTGTCTCTGACTTGACCCCCACGTGGCAGAATCCCACCAATCCCTGAGCACAAAATCCCAACCACCCCTGAACTTGCCCCAGAATTAGCCTAGAAACACACAATCCCAAGGCACCCTGGAAAAGTGCACCCCCAACCCTCCTCCACTGTGGGAGTCACCATGCCCTAGGCAGGAGGTCCTAACTATATAAGCTCTGAACCCTGTCCAGTTTGTTGCGGCTTCTCACCCTAGAGGCAGTCACCCTCCTGGATTTTTCCTTTCCAATAAATCTTGTGAGCGAGGTTTGTTGTGCAGTGTGACACTTTCTCTGGAGCAAGCAGAACAGTAACACTTTCCTTGGTGAAACTTTCCCCTAGAAGAGCAGAACTGAGGCATTTGCTAACCCTGAGCAAACCTGAACAACTTTGGTAGAACTCAGCAGAGCTGAAACAGCCTTGCTGGGAAAGCCCTCCCGGCAGAGCAGAGTTGTTACATTTGCACTGGGGAAACCGCAGGGCTGTAAGCTGCTATACTCAGTGATTTCAGGTAAATACCTTGGCTCCCGACTGCCTGGATACATATCCACCAGAGCTGCAACACTTGTACTGTCTACACTGGGTTGGCCTGTGGTTATGTCTGTGGGTAATTGCCTTAACTGATGTGGAAGACCCAATCCACCTTGGGAGGCACCAATCCCTAGGCAGGGGTCCTGAACTGTGCAAAAGCGGAGACAAGACTGAGAATACCCAAGTAAGCATACATGTATTCCCTCTCTCTACTTCTTGACTGGGGACATTACTGCCTTGACTTCCCTACTATGATGGACTGTAACCTGGAATGGCAAGCTGAAATAGTGTTTTTCTCCCCTAAGTTGCCCCTTGTCAAGGTATTTTATATTTACCGCATCAACAGAAGAAAGCTAGTTCTGTTTTGCCATTCATGCATTTTGTGAGAGAAGGTCTCTAGCTCAGGTTGACTTCCACCTCCCTTTGTAGCTGAAGAAAACCAGGAACTCCAGGTCCTCTGCGTCTATCTCTTCCAAGTTGGTGTGACAGCATTTTGCAGTGGTGGGGACTGGAGCCAGGGCTTTGTGCAAGCTGGGCAAGCACTCGAGCAACTGGTTGTGAACCACCATGTGGGTGCTGGGACTTGAACTCAGGTCTTTTGGAAGGGCAGGCAACATTCTTAACTGCTGAGTCATCTCTCCAGTCTGCCCCCCCCAAAAAAAAACCCCAAAATTTTAAAAAATAAATGAGGCTGGATGACCCAAGATCAGTTCCCAGCCCACAAATTAGGGGGCTCACAATTGCCTGTAAGACAACAGGGGATCTGACCCCCTCTTCTGGCTTCTGAGGGCATCTTCACACACATGCATAGACACCCACATACATATAAATAAAAATAAATCTTTAAAAACAAACAAGGCAGATGGCAGTGGCGCACACTTTAATCCCAGCACTTGGGCAGCAGAGGCAGGAGGATCTCTGTGATTTTGAAGACAGCCTGGTCTACAGGGCAAGTTCCAGGACAGCCAGAGCTACAGAAAACCCTGTCTTGAGAAACCAAAAGCAAAGAAATAAATAAGCACGAACAAACAAGGAAAAGGAATGACTGAGTCCACTCCTATGACAAATGAACGTGAAGCTTAGCATTTGTGCTGTGCGGGGTTTTATTTGGAGCACTGGGCGCTTTCCTACCCATGTCCTGCAAGGGCAGGAAACAAAAAGCAACAGGAAAAATACAATCTGTAAGTACAAATAAGGGCAAAAGCTATGGGACAGAGCTTGGTGACCTCAGTCCTCCAGGTCTTCATCCTCCTCCTCCTCCTCATCCTCCTCCTCTTCCTCCGCTGCTGCCAGGGCCTGCTCCTGTGCAGCCTTCAGGGCCTGCTCCTCCTCCACCGTGGGGTCACTCATCTCCATAATCTCAGGGCCGCTGGGGTACTCTTGCTGAATCGGAGCTGGCAGGGATGGGTTGAAGTTCTCAGGGCTGTACTTGTGGCCCCAGCCAATGTAGATGTTCTCAAACTTCCTAGAGAAAACAGGGAAACATTCTCTTGGGGGGTGGGGTGGGACTAAGTACGGCGCAGCATCACCACAGAGTTGCCAGTGGGCAGATGAAAGGTGCACATGGAGATTCACCGTCACTCTATCCCACAAAGGGTTTACTGAGCACCTGTTAGGTGTTCACCAGATCTAAAGTAGCAAGGGGACTGGAGAATAGTGTGTGTGTGTGTGTGTGTGTCTGCCTGTTTGTCTGTCTGTCTATTGGTGTGAGTTTATGCACATGAGTGCAGTGTCTGCAGAGGCCAGAAGAGGGCATCAGATTCCTGGAGTCGTAGTGGCAGGTGGCTGTGAAGCTCCAAATATGAGTGCTGAGAAACTGAACTCAGAGGGGTCTTCTGCAAGAGCAGTACATGCTCTTAACTATGAAGACAGGGTCTCCCTATGTAACACATGTATATAGACAAGGCTGGTCTCAGACTGGTGCAGATATGCCTTCTGAGTGTGGGCTTTAAAAAGGGCATCACTACTTCACTTCACTGATATTTTGAGGCAGAGTCTCTTCACCAGGTCTGGAGTCCGATTCTGCTAGGCTGACTTCACTAGTAAATTCCAGGGCTCCATTGATCCTCAGCCCCTCACTGGGGGATTCTAGGCAGGGACTCTACCACCGAGCCACCCCCCAGCCCCTGACTGGCTTGGGCAGCAATTACCCACTAAGCCGTCTCCTCCACCTTTGCGGTCTTCTTCCATCACTAATCACTTCTGAGTCGTTGGTTCCTGGTCTCATGTCATCAGCATCCCCCTCTGCCTCCTTTACTGCTTTCTCACTGCCTTCTCAGGGAGTCACTGAGCACATCTTGTATGATGGCAATCGCCTTACATTTAACTGAGCCTTGTTTGAAGATTCAGTTCACACTCTGTCTTGGAGTGTTTCCGTGGACACTGGAGAAGAATGTGTGTTCTGCTGTTTTTGGGTGGAGTGGCTTTGATTTAATTTTATTTAATTTCAATTTTAAAAATAAAACTGATACTTAATTTGGTTATTGGAAAACCTCCAAAGAGTCCTGGAACAACTTGGGTACATGAATCCACTTTTACTTCTTTTTTCTCTTTATGGGAGTATGTCACCATGTATCCTGAACTGGCCATAAACTAGAAACTCCTGCCTCAGCCTCCTTGCTGCTTGGATAACAGAGATGTATCAGTAGCCTGGTTAAGGTTAATTTATTTCTCCTAGTGGCACAGGAGGTTGAAGCCAGGATCTCCTGCCAGCTAGGAAGGCACTTAACTGTTGAACACGAACGCCCCCAGCCCCTCACTGGGGGATTCTAGGCAGGGGCTCTACCACTGAATCACACCTCAGCCCCTCACTGGGGTATTCTAGGCAGGGGCTCTATCACTGAGTCACACCCCAGCCCCTCACTGGGGGATTCTAGGCAGGGGCTCTACCACTGAGATGTATGTAGCCTTGGCTCATTTTTATCTTGAAATACATTCTAGGTTGCTCAGCCTGGCCTTACGCCCCCTCTGCAGCTAAAGCTGGCCTTGGAATATCTCGTCTTCCTCCTGTCTTGGCATCCTGATTATCTGAGCTTACTGGAATCATGATCCTGGGCCACCAGCCCAGCAAGCCTTTCTGATGAAAACTTCATATCCAAACTGAGATTCATTTTAGTGAAAAACATATTCCAGATTCTGAAGACATGTTATGAAATAAGGAATGAAAAATAGAAGCTGGGTGGTGGTGGCCCACACCTCTAACCCCAGCACTGGAGAGGCAGAGGCAGGTGGATCTCTGTGAATTTGAGGTCAGCCTTGTCTACAGAGTGAGTTCCAGGACAGCCAGGGCTACATAGAAAGAGGGGGGAATAGCCGGAGAGATGACTCATCAGTTCAGAGCACTAGCTGCAGACCAGAGAGATGGCTCAAGCAGTTAAGAGCGCTATATGCTCTTTTAGAGGACCCAGGTGCAATTCCCAGCACCCACATGGCAATACACAACAGTCTGTAACTCCAGTTCCAGGGAATCTGACTCCCGTGTGCAGACATACATACAGGCAAAAACCAGTGCACATGAAAAATAGATCTGTTTTTAAAGAGCAAAATGAGGCCTGAGGGCATGGCTCAGCAGTCAGTAGAGCCCCTGCCTAGAATACCTGAGTGAGGGGCTGGGGTGTGGCTCAGACATAGAGCCCTAACTACATCCCCCAGTGAGGGCCCAGAGTGTGGCTCAATAGCAGGTCCCTTGCCTAGAAGAGGCCAAAACCCTGGCTTCAATCCCAGCGTCACAATACCCTGAAACCCAGGCTCTTTTCTAGACATTTGAAGTAGACTTTTCATCTTCGCCAGATTCTCAGTGAGTCCTACTCATTCCGATCATAAGCCTGGTCTAGACTACCCCTGCCTGTCTCTAACGGTACTTCTTTCTTTCCCTGTGGATTGTAGATTGAGGTCGCTTTCTCTCCAGAAGCCACAAGGACTCAAGACACCCAATTAGGAGCTTATCTAGTTCATAACAGGGTACTTGCTGGCATGGAGTGTGGAACGTCATACAACTGCATGGGGCAGGGAGTGCGTGGATGGTAGGATGTCGTCGTACATGACTGGATTTCTGCTACCAGCTCCCATGTATGATCCGTGGCTGTCTTTCCAATAAGGGCCTGGGGTCCTGCAGGCAGCTGCTAAATAGTGATGTTCAAGAGTTTCTCATAGGGCTGGAGAGATGGCTCAGAGGTTAAAAGAACTGACTGCTGTTCTGAAGGTCCTGAGTTCAATTCCCAGCAACCACATGATGGCTCACACCCATCTATAATTAGATCTGGTGCCCAGAATACTATATACATAATAAATAAATTTAAAAAAAAAAGAGTTTCTCATAGAGCCAAGTTTGATGACATGCCTGCAATCCCAGTACTCCAGACATGCAGGCAGGAGGATTGGGAGCTCAAGGCCAGCCAGAGCAGCATAATGAAACCATGTGTCAACAAGAATACGGTTCTTTTAGGGCTAGAGAGAGACAGCCGCACAAGCTGGGCCAGCTGAATCTGACCCTGGGACCCACATAAGAGGTCAGAGTTGGCAGCACAATTGTAACTCAGCACACATGGTGTGGGATGGGGTGCAGAGACCAGAGAAGCATTGTCTGGAAGCTCAGGGAGCTAGCCTGGGATACACTGCACAGCACAGAAACGACAGAGAGACCGCTACAACAAGGTGGAAAGCTAGCACCCACTCCTGTGCCTTCTGACCTACACGTGCATGACGCTGTTCATGCATGTGCACACACAGTTGATTTATTTGAAGAGTCTTAGGCACTTGTTGTCATGCACATCTTTAATCTCAGCACTCCAGAGGAAGAGGCAGGAGGATCACTCTGAGTTTGAGGACAGTCTGGTCTACCTAGTGAGTTCTAGACCAGCCAGGTCTACATGGTGAGCTCATGTCTCAAAAAGAAAAGAAAAGAAAGGGAAAGAAAAGAAGTCCCACATGAAGCAAAATAAAGTCTCTTTTTGGGCTGGTGTGATGACCCGGCTGCTAAGAGTGCTCACTGGTTTCCTGCACCCACATCAGGAGGCTCATAACCACCTACAACTCCAGTTCCTGGATGCCCAGTGCCCTCTTCTGGCCTCCAAAGACACCTGCATGGCTGTGGCATACATAAACTCACACAAGCACACACATACATGTAAATAACGTATGTAACTTTGTCTAGAATGCTCTTTTATAAAAAGACAAAAGCTAGATGGGCGAATTACCGAACTGAAGGATGCACAGATGGACGAGCTGATGACGAATGGATGGGAGGGAGGGTGGGGAGGTAAACGTGCATGAGGATGTAGGGCCAGGAGAACTCAGTCTGACTTTCAGAGAGATTTTTAAAAATTAATGTGTGGCTGGAATAAGAGGGTTAGAAAAATTCTAGTCTCAGATTCTGGACAAAAAATAATAATCTAGGGGCTGGAGAGATGGCTCAGTGGTTAAGAGCATTGCCCGCTCTTCCAGAGGTTCTGAGTTCAATTCCCAGCAACCACATGGTGGCTCAAAACCATCTGTAAAGAGGTCTGGTGCCCTCTTCTGGCCTGCAGACATACACACAGACAGAATATTGTATACATAATAAAAAATAAATATTTTACAAAAATAATCTACAAGAATATGACTAAAAGCATCAGTTGTCCTTGAAACTCCATCAGAACTAAGCCCAGAATTCAGCAATATAGAGCACATTCAGAGATCAGAGCAGAAGAGCTCTGCCCTCTGGTGGACATATCTGGAATCGCAGTCAGGGTCTCTGAAGGCTGTAGTGGGACTGGGAGGCTAGTGAACTGATGTAGGGATTTAGAGCCCATCTAAAGGTAAAAAGAGTGAAAGTGGGGGCGATCAGAGATTATCAATATACATTTTTTTGAGATGGGGTCTCTCTCTATAGCCCTGGATGTCCTGGAACTAGCTCTCTAGACCAGCTGGCCTCAAACTCACAAAGATGCCCCTTCCTCTGGCTCCTGAGTTCTGGGATTAAAGGCGTGCGCCACCACTGTCTGGCTGGTAGGTAATATGTCTGTATCATAGGCAGACCCCTGGGTCAAGGCTAAATCGTACTTGCCAACGGCGTAGGCATAGGCCCCTGGCCAGAGGTTGGAGCGCACAACGGCCACCGAGTACTGCGGGCTGAGGCTGCAGGAGACGCGGGTGGTCCAGGGCGACAGGTGCATGATCTCTGTTGTGAGAAGAAAAAGGACAGTGGGGTCAGGGGCCCCCAAGCCATGCCTTACTTACCGCATGGATGAAGAAAAGGGAACCAGGCAGGAGCCACAAATCACACTGAAGCCCAGCTCTGGCCTCTCTAGGAAGACACTTCACCTGTCTCTATTTTAGTGAAGGGAACGAGAACTCTCACGTCACCTCCCTTGCTGGGTAGTGGTGAGGTCTGGTAGCCATGTCCCTAGCAACAACTCCCAAGCATTCTCTTACAGGGTGTATGGCTTTGAACTAGGGCACTGGGGCTCGCGCCACAGGACCTCGGCCTCCCTCTTCCCCCCAAGAGCTCTCAGACTTAGAGAATTCCTGCCATGAATGCAAAATCCCACTCCTGGCTGCCTCCCTTAGGGGAGGCTCCTAAACTCTCTCTTCCCCGAGCCTGGTTGGGGCTCAAAAGACCGTCTCCCAGCTAGGCATAGGGGCACATGCTGAGAATCCTAGCACTGAGGACACAAAGATGATTGCTTAGAGTTCAAGGTTAGCCTGGGCTACAGAACAAGACCTGCCTCAGATGGCCTTTGCTGTGACAGCCCTCCAGAAAGAGAGACAACCAGGGAAGAGATTCTGTCTAGAGGCCATGGTCGCTGTCGTCACGTGCCTGATGAGGCTTAGCCACAAGAAGTAGCTGGGGAAGTCTCATGAGTCTTCCACTCTGCCGGCCTAAGGCTGGGATGATGGACTTGTGCTCCCAAAGCCTGGCCTGATGCCCACTGAACTGAGGCCCAGAAGGTGGGTGACATCAGTGTTTGAATCCCATCAACCCCTTCTGGGCCACCACTGCACCTGCCCCAAAGGAAGGACTTACCTGCATCTTCTGAGAGAGGAGTCAGAAGCGGAGGACCGACCTCCTGCTCCACCTCCTCCATCCCTTCGTCCGCCTTCTCTTCCTCCTCCCCTAGCTCCTCCTCCTCCTCTGTCTTCTGCATTGGGTTCACCCATGTACAGCGGCCCTGGGGGTGCAGTGGCAAAGTCAGACGGCACCCTCCGACAGAGCTTAGCCTACTGTGGGAAAAGGTGGAGGGCTAGACAGGTCCCTAGAACACTGGTCCTGTTCCCAGTGAGCCCCAGGATGCTGGACATACTGCTGAGAAATGAGACCTCAGTATTCCTGGGGCTGCTGTCGTTCTGCAGTGGCAATGCACTTGTGCGTCCCTCATTGGATGGACACTGAGCTCAGTCAAGCCAATGAACACTCCTGTTCTGTGTGTGTGTGTGAGAGAGAGAGAGAGAGAGAGAGAGAGAGAGAGAGAGATCAGGCCAGCATTCTTCTGAGCTACACGCCCAGCTTTGTTTTGATTTTGTTGTTTTCTTGCTTTCTTTTTTTTTTCTTGTTGTTGTTTTTCCAGCAGATTTTCTGTGTAGCCCTGGCTGCCCTGGACCTCGCTCTGTAGACCAGGCTGGCCTCAAACTCATAGAGATCCGCCTGCCTCTGACTCTCGAGTGCTGGGATGAAAAACCACTACTTCAGGCCCTGTTGTTCTGTGACCTTGAACTCCCTCTGATCAATGACTGCTTTTAGTTTTTTTAAATATTTATTTTCTTTTATGTGCATTGGTATTTTACCAGCATCTATATCCGTGTGAGAGTGTCAGATCTTGGAGTTACAGACAGTTCTGAGCTGCCATGTTGAGTGCTGGGAATCGAACCTGGGTACTTTGGAAGAGTCAGTGCTCTTAACCCCCGAGCCATGTCTCCAGTCCCAGTGACTGTTTTTTGAATAATAAGCCCAGGCAGGCACACAGCATAGCTCTACCTCCCATTTCCTCATCTGTGAAACAGGGGCAGTACCTGTCCTGGAACTAGCTCTGTAGACCAGGCTGGCCTCAAACTCTCAGAGATCCACCTGCCTCTGCCTCCCGAGTGCTGGGACTAAAGGTGTGCACCCACACCTGGCTTTCAGAAGGAGTTCTTTGAAGACAGTATGGTAGTTTATGCCTGTAGTACTGGTTTGCTGCTGCTGTGTGTGTGTGTGTGTGTGTGTGTGTGTGTGTTTGTCAACTTGATAAGAGCTAAAGTTATCCAGGAAGGAAGCTCAGCTGAAAAAAGGCCTCCATCAGATTGGCCTGCAAGCAAGTCTGTGGGGCATGCTCTTGATTAATGACTGATGTGGGGAGGCCTAGCTCACCGTGAGCAGTGTCAACCCTGGGCTACTGGTCCTGGACTGTATAAAGCAGTAGGCTCCACCCCTGAACCCCCACAGTGGTGGCGCACGCCTTTAATCCCAGCACTCGGGAGGCAGAGGCAGGCGGATCTCTGTGAGTTCGAGACCAGCCTGGTCTACAGAGCTAGTTCCAGGACAGGCTCCAAAACCACAGAGAAACCCTGTCTCGAAAAACCAAAAAAGAAAGAAAGAGAGAAAGAAAGAGAGAGAGAAAGAAAGGAAGGAAAGAAAAAAGGGGAGTTATTGCAAAGTCAACAACAGTTGATTGAATTAATTAGATGTTCCCAGCTGGGCCAGTGAGGTAAAGTGTCTATGGAAAAACCTGATTTCCTGAGTTCAGTTCCCACGACCCAGGTGGTGGAAGGAGAGAATCAACTCCGAAAGCCATCCTCTGGCCTCCACAAACACAACTAATACATAATGAATTAAAATGTAACTAGAAAGTCCCTGTTCCCAGCAATCTTCATGGAATGACTAAAACCCAAGGCTGAAGTCAGGACCCAGCCGGCACTCGACACAATCAGCACCATCGTCACCTGTCCCCCATCTGTCTAGATGGATAGACAGACAGTTGACAGACTAGTGGATGGACAGATAGATTTGTGAATGGAGTGGTGGGTGAACGGATTTGTGGTTGGAAGAGTGGGTAGCTGGGTGGAAGGTTTGGTTGATGGACAAGTAGACGGATGGATGAACAGATCATTGGATGGATGGATGGATGGATGGATGGATGGATGGATGGATGGATGGATGGATGGATGGACAGGTGGATTCAAGGGAGAAGGATGGGTGGATAGATCAATGGATGGGTAGATGGATGAATGGGTAGGTGTATGGAACCGAGGTTGGATGTCTGGGTAGATGAGTGAGTGTATGGACAGATGATTGGGTGAGTATAATGATGGATGGATGGATGGATGGATGGATGGATGGATGGATGGATGGATGGACGGACGGACGGACAGACAACGACCAGCATCATGCTTTTATCACACAGATACAGGGCTGGATTGGGGTGTGTCCTGGTTGGGCACTCTGTCCTCACCTGCGGCAGGATGTGCTGTGTGTGATGTACCCAGTTGGCCATGGAGTCCACAAGCTCCAGCACCGGGATGCCCTCAAAGTCGGGGTTCTCCTCGAATGAGTCACGCCCTGCGCCGCCCTCCTCCTCCTCATCTCCCTCCTCCTCGCCGAACTGGTAGAAGCCCAGCGGGCTGATGTGCGTGGCTGCTGAGATGCGCGCAATCTGAGCACGCAGGTAGTTGGCCTCATTGCCCGGGAAGGGCGGGTAGCTGATGACCGGGGTGTCCAGGAAGCCGGTGAAGAACTTCTTGATCTTGCGCGCACTGACGATCTGCGCTGGCGTCACGTGTGGCAGGCGCGTCCACGGGCGGCCTGGCTCGTTGCACACGAAGTACAGGTACTTGTTGGCGCCTGTGCGGCTCTCCTCCTTGGGGATGACTGGCGGCGGCTTCCACTGCGGCTTGGGCACTGCATCTACCACCTTCTCCTCATCCTCCTCGCCCTCCTCCTCACCGTGTGCCTCCATGACCTCTCCGCCCTCCATCATCTCCTCCACCTCCTCCTCCTCGCCTTCTTCCTCGCCTTCGCGGAACTCCACCTCTGCCACCAGGTAGCTGCGGCTCAGTCCCAGGATCTTGCCCCAGAAGCGGCACGTGTGGATGGGTTGCTGCTCCACCAGCTGCCTCAGGGCCAGGAAGATCCGGAAGCTTTCGTCGGAGCTCAGCCCCACGCCTGCCTGCTCGAAGTAGAAGGCCGTCTCCATGATGTTGGGCACCGGGCTGTCGTTCTGCACACAGGGATGGGAGAGGGGATGGGAGAGAGGATGGAAAGCTGAAGGCTTTAGAGTGTGATTCTCTTGCCCATAGCCTGGGTCCCAGGGATGGTACTCGGGGCTGCAGCCTCAGCAGAAAGATCTGAGCCAGCCTGGCAGCCCGACTCATCCAGAGCTAAGAAACTTGGACTGAAGCCACCAGTTTGGGGGATTGTCCTCAGGAAGGGTGTCCCTTGAGGCAAAAAAAAAAAAAAAAAAGCACACCAGGAGAAAATCCTTTTCTATTTGTCCTGACTGTTGGGTACCAACAGGCAGCAAATGCCTGGGTCATCATACTCTATGCCCTAATAGCGATGGGGTGAAAGGTGGACTTGGCCCTCGGCACACAGCTGGATTGCCCTACCACCCTGGCCTTTTTGTTCTACTGGACTAAAGAATCACTGTTGCCAGGCTCGGTAGCACACACCTTTAAACTCCCTTGGAAGGGAGAGGCTGATGAATCTCTGTGAGTTCGAGGCCAGTCTGGTCTATAGAGCGAGTTCCAGCCAGCCAGGGGTGCATATCAAGACTGTGTAAAACACAAAGCCACTATTAGTCGTGGTGTCCGTTACTTACAACCCAAAGCAGTCTTCACTGCCTATCTTTCCACTGTGTTCTTGGTTCACGACCATGGGATGGGGTGGAGAATAAAGGGCGGGCGGGCGGGAGGGAGGGAGGGAGGGAGAGAGGGCCTGAAAAGCAATGCTTGACAGGAACCCCGGGGAAGGAGGGGGTGCGGAGGGGATGGAAACAGAAATCTGGAAGAAGTAAAATGTGTGTTTGTGGCATGTGGCTCTTGCCTTTCTCTGAGGAATGCCTGTCACCTGCTCAGCAGAGGGGCCACAGGCCACAAAGCTCAGCGTTCCTCAGTCTAGTGAAATGGAAATAGCCAGTGGTGCCCTGAGCTAAGCCAAAGATGCTGGGAAACAGCTGCTCGGGACCGCTGGCTGGTGGCTGCTCATCTCTGGAGTCTCTGCCTGCAGGTTCACGTGGCGTCTGTGAGTGCGTCTGTGTGTGTGTGTGTGCGTCTATGTGTGGGTCTGTGTGTGCGTGTCTCTGTGTGTGTGCATCTGTGCGTGTGTCTGCGTGTGTCTCTGTGTGTGTGTCTCTGTGTGTGTACATGTGCGTGTCTGCGTGTGTGCCTGCATGTGTGTGTCTGTGTGCCTCTGTGTGTGTGTGCATCTGTGCGTGTGTCTGCGTGTGTCTCTGTGTGTGTGCGTGTCTGTGTGTGCGTCCGTCCCATTTTTCAATCCTTTTTTTTCTTTCCTTATTCTTTTTTTTTAAATATTTATTTATTATGTATACAGTGTTCTGTTTGTATATATGCCTGCAAGCCAGAAGAGAGAGCCAGATCTCATTATAGATGGTTGTGAGCCACCATGTGGTTACTGGGAATTAAACTCAGAACCTCTGGAAGTGAAGTCAGTGCTCTTAACCTCTGAGCCATCTCTCCAGCCCCTTCTTTCCTCATTCTTATGCAATTAGAATTGGCATTCAAGGGGCTGGAGAGATGGCTCAGAGGTTAAGAGCACTGGTTGTTCTTCCAGAGGTCCTGAGTTCAATTCCCAGCACCCACATGGTGGCTCACAACCATTTGTAATGAGATCTGGTGCCCTCTTCTGGCCTGCAGGCAGAACACTGTATACAAAATAAATAATCTTTTTAAAAAAGGAATTGGCATTCAAAATGGATGCTTCACATTAAATATTATTAGACTTTCAGTGTCTATTTTGTGTATTATCTCCCACCAAAACCAAAACCCCATGACAGCATTAGTAGAGACGTGGTTACGTCCTTGCTCATGACTCGCGTTCATTGCCTGCACTCGGCTCCTCCTCATCCCTACAGCCAGCGCCCCTTGTTCTTTCCCCTGTTACACTCTATCCATCTATCCATACATTGTATACATAACTGCTGTACTCCCTACATGAGGGCAAATATATGGTTTGTTTACTGAGACTGTGGCCTCACGATATTGCATATTCCAAGTCCACCTGTTTTGTTTTTCTCTGTGTAGCCCTGACTGGCCTGGAACTCTCTCTGTAGACCAGACTGGCTTCACACTCAGGGATTCACCCATTTCTGCTTCCTGAGTGCTGGGACTAAAGGCATGAGCCACCATGCCTGACTTTACACGAATTATGCGTTTCCCCCCCTAAATCTATAAAGTTTTGCATGGAGATTTTGAAAGGAATTGTATTTTGTTTATTAATTTTAGTGGACAGACATTTTCACAGTAATAATAATGCCTACCCAAGAACATGGAATGCTCTGTCATCTAGTGTTTTCTATGTAATTTTCTAGTATTTTCTGTGATTTCTTCTTTCAATATCTTGTCATCTGGGTTGTTGAAGTCTTTCACGTCTTTAGATATATTCCTCAATACTTAATTTGGGGGATTATTTTGCATGGAATATTTTTTTAATTTCTAACAGTGGTATGAAGGTAGTTAATATAAATGAGGCTATTGTTTGTGGTTTATTTATTTATTCCTTTTGTTTCTTGAGGCAGGGTTTCTCTGTGTAGCCCTGGCTGCCCTAGAACTCCCTCTGTAGGCCAGGGTGGCCTTGAACTCAGAGATCTGCCTGCCTCTGTCCCCAAGTGCTAGGATTAAAGGCCTGCGCCACTGCTGCCTGGCTTTTTTTTTTTTCTAGCTATTGATAAAGTAGAATGGATGGATGTATGGATGTGATGTAATCAAATATTGCAAAGTCAACAACAGTTGATTGAACTAATTAGATGTTCCCAGCTGGGCTAGTGAGATGCTTTAGTGGGTAAAAGTGGAAAAACCTGACATCCTGAGTTCAAGTCCCACGACCCAGGTGGTGGAAGGAGAGAATCAACTCCGAAAGCCATCCTCTGACCTCCACAAACACAACTAATACATAATGAATTAAAATGTAACTAGAAAGTCCCTGTTCCCAGCAATCTTCATGGAATGACTAAAACCCAAGGCTGAAGTCAGGACCCAGCCGGCACTCGACACAATCAGCACCATCGTCACCTGTCCCCCACCCCAAAACCCTCAAGACATGTTCTGCAGAAGAACAAGGGCACTGCTGGCCACAGTGTCTGTTACTGCAGCCGTCTTCCCAGAAGCCATCTTGCAGCGCCCCTGGCCTGAGCTGACGGGTGTCATTCCTGTGTCAGCCAGAAATGCCCACGTGTTTGAATGCTCACTGCAACACTGCCTGTCACTAAGGCTCGCCTGTCCACTGCCTGTCACCACAGATACATTGTATCCTGAAACTTTACTGTGTTTATTAGGGCCAAAAATTTTCTAGCCGACTCAGTAGGGACTCTAAGTAAAGAATCATGTCATCTGCAAGCAGAGATAGTTTGCCTTTGCCCTTCCTATTTTTATGCCCCTGTGTACTGTCCTGGCTGATTGCTGTAGCAATGACTGTGAGCAGTATATTCAATCAGAGGGGAGAATGGCCATTTTTGTGTGGCTCCTGATTTTAGAGGAAATGTTCTCATTTGTTTCCATCTAATGTAATTGATTGTAGCTCTTTTATTTTTGAGGACTACTCCATCTTTTCCTAACACTCCAGAACCTGTATCATGAAGGCATGTTGAACCTTGTCAAATGCCTTTTCAGAGCTGACTGAAGTAATCATGTGTGGCTTCGGTCCTAGAGTATGTCACGATTATGGATTTATGTGTGTCGGGCTGACCTCGCCTTTCCGGGATGACGCTCACCTGGTCATAATGTATGATCTTCTTCATGTGTTCCTGAACTGGGTTTGCAAACATTTTGTTAAGTAGGTTCACATTGCCAGACGGTGGTGGCACAGGCCTTTAATCCCAGCACTCGGGAGGCAGAGGCAGGTAGATCTCTGAGATTGAGGTCAGCCTGGTCTACAGAGTTCTAGGATAGCCAGGGCCACACAGGGCAACCCTGTTTTTGAAAAAAACAAAACAACACCAACAAAAAGAATATTCACATCAAGGAAATAGGTCTGTAGTTGTTTTTTGTAGAGTTTTCCTTCACTTTCTATTTTATGGATCAGGTTAAGAAGAATTGACATGAGGTCTTCCTTGGAGGTTTGGTAGAATTCAGCAGTGACCCCGCCTGATCCTGGGTTTTCCTAACAGCTTCAGTAATAGGTCTGCTTAAGACCCCCTCCCCCCCGTCTGTCTGTCTGTCTCTCTCTCTCTCACACACACACATACACACGCGCGCACAAGCGCGCGCGCGCACACACACATACACACACAGCTGGAGAGATGGCTCAGCTGTTAAGAGCACACTGGCTATTCTTCCAGAGGACCTGGGTTCAATTCCCACCACCCACATGGCAGCAGCTCACAACTGTCTGTAACTCCAGTTCTACCACTTCTGAAGGTAAAACACCAATGTACATGAAATAAAAATAAATGAACAAGTTCGAGGCCAGCCTGGTCTAGAAGAGATAGTTCCAGGACAGCCAGGGCTGTTACACAAAGAAACCCTGTCTCAAAAAAACCTAATTAATTAATTAATAAAAAGGTTTTATGCCGGGCAGTGGTGGCGCATGCCTTTAATTCCAGCACTCAGGAGGCAGAGGCAGGTGGATCTCTGTGAGTTCGAGACCAGCCTGGTTTACAAGAGCTAGTTCCAGGACAGGCTCCAAAGCCACAGAGAAACCCTGTCTTGAAAAACAAAACAAAACAAAAAAAGATTTTACACACACACACACACACACACACACACACAAGCACACATCTTCAAGACTTAATTTTAGTGAAGGATATACATTTAGAAATCCTTCCTTTTTTTCCTGACTTACCCAGCTTTTCAAAGTTAAATCTTCATGGTAGTTTTTAGTGAAGTTCTCTTTCACTGGGGTCAGTCATAACCCTTTCAGTCTCTAGTTTTATTAATTGCATCTTCTCCCTCTTTGTTCTGTCAGATTAGCTAAGGGCTTGTGTATCTCTTTTTCAAAGAGCCGACTCTTTGGCTGGATCCTCTTCAGAGCTGTCTACTGTGTTTGGACTTGACCACTGTGTTTTGAGACCCTTGGGTGCATCATTGGGTTGTTTATTCGATATCTCCCAGCTTCTTTTACACGCGTGCTTATCGCTAGTAGCTTTTCTCTTTAGAGTGCTTTGTGCACCAGGGCTTCAGGTAGGACGCGACTCTTCATTTGCCTCTAGGGATATTTTCATTTCCTTTCTGACTTCTTGAATGACCCACTGTTTATCCAAAAGTGTGTTTAGATACACACCCCCCTTTTTTTTGAGTTAGGGTTTCTCTCTGTAGCCCTGGCTGTCCTGGAACTCGCTCGGTGCTCAGTAGACCTGGCTGGCCTTGAACTCAGAGATTCACCTGCTTGCTGGGATTAAAGGTGTGCGCCATCACCGCCAACCTGGCTGCATATTGCCTTTTTTAGAAGCCTGCATCTCTGTAAAAATGGTGTACTGTCCCAGTACAGCCAACAGGTATTAGTGTTGCCTGGCCCTTCTGGCCACTGTTGATGGAAACAAGTGTGGACCAGTACTTCAAATGACAGAGTCAACTCTTTGACAGAGGGAGAATATGTCTTGCTGTCCTGAAATTCCCTATGTACACCAGGCTAGTTTTGAACTCAGATATCCACCTGCTTCTGCCTTCTGAGTGGTTCAATTAAAGGCATGCGCTACCATATTAGATTGACTCTGATCCGCTTGGTGTGGTTGGATGGAGAGAAAAACCAGTATCTGGTCCTTAGAGATCGTCTTCTGGTGTGGCTGTCTCCGCGCAGGCTGGTCGGACACTCAGAGGACAGGTGAACACGCTTTATTCCATGGTGAGCCTTGACTTGCTGGAAAGACAAAAATCTCGGTTCTCCTTTCTCTCATCCTGTTTCTGCTGTTGGGAAAATCCCATTTGCCATTTGTGACCACATTCTGTTTTATTGTAGAGAGACAAGGTCTCTTGTACCCACATTACCTTTAAAGTCATCCATGTAGCCAAGAATGGACTTGAGCTTCTAACCTACTGGCGCTATGTCCTAAGTGCATGGAATATAGGTGTGTCCCAGCACAACCAGTCAATGTGGCTCTGGGCCATGAGCCCAGGCCTTCATACATCCTAGCTAAGCACGCCACCACTGAGCTATGTTCCCATAGATTGTTTTTACAGCTAAGCATCAAACCCATAGCCTTTTATATATTGGGCAACGTTTCCACCACTGAGCTACACCCTAACCCCTCACTAGAGGAGTCTAGGTAACTGTTCGAGCAACCAGCTACACCCTCAGATTGGATTTTTGAGGGGAGATTTAAGATGAGATCTCTTATCTGGACAGTGACGGCTCACACCTTTAATCCCAGCACTCTGTAGGCAAAGGCAGGCAGATCTCTGAGTTTGAGGCCAGCCTGGTCTACACAGTAAGTTCCAAGACAGCCAGGGCTACACAGAGAAACCCTGTCCCGGAAAACCTAAACAAATCAAAACAAAAGGTGAGCTCTCCTTAAGGGACCCATTGCTGGCTCCACAGTATAGGTAATAATGCTAATCCTCCTTCCCCAGCCTCGGGAAGGCACAGCAAGGGGTATCTGGAAACACACTGGAGTTCCTGTGCTGTGAAGCAGTGTAGGAGACAGTTCCGGGCAATGGAGAAGGATGGACCATCACGTTGATGCCCTTGGGAATTACAGCTAGCCAACCATACGAGAGACACACAAAATGAGAGAAAGAGGAACCTGCCCCAGCCCAGATGGGAAAAGAAATATAACTGCTGAAACGTGGCTCTGTCTCACCACAGACGCCTACAGTTTTTCTCTCTAGATGCTGAACTCCAGGATTGGGAACACATTGATCGTGACACGGAGACTCATTAATTACAAAAGCTCAGCCGATAGCTTAGGCTGTCCCTAACACTTCTATAACTTAAATCAGCCCATTTCCATAATCTGCATGCTGCCGCGTGGCTCCTACATATCATGCTTCCTCCGCATCTCCTCACAACTCTGCCTTCTTCCCAGAATTCTCTCTGCCCTGAAAATTCTGCATAGCTATTGGCCGTCTAGCTTTTTATGAAACCAGTCACAGTGACAAGGAATATTCCACAATAGCCTACCGTGCATGGGGACAGCATAAACCCGGGAAGCACATGACTGTCATCCTAGCCCTCAAGAGGTAGAGGCAGGAGGATCAGATATTCAGTGTTATCCATAACTACCTAGCAAGTTCAAAGCCAGGGAACATATCAGACCCTTTGTCAAAACCTTACCTCCCAACCCTGCAAAAATAATAAATATAAATAAAATGACTGTTCCCAGCTCTAAGGAGATGGGTCTCGGCCTTCTAGAGTCGGTCCATGCATTACGTTCAATAGGGTGGGACTTGGAGGGTCCAGTGAACTAAGGGTATATTTAGACTCTCTCCCCCCTCCCCCCCCAGCCAGGGGTTGCTCTTTTGAGGCAGGGCCTCCTGGGATCTGGAGCTTAGGGGAAAAGTACATGTAGTGGGTATTCCTTAAAAAATAATCCTTTTAAAAAATAAGATTTAAATTTTTTTTTCTGTGTATGAGTATTTTGCCTACATGTATATCTATATACCACGTGTGTACTTGATGCTCTCGGAGGTCAGAAGAGGGCATCAGATCCCCTGGAACTTTGCCATCCAATTTTTTCTTCAAAACAGGGTCTCATGTATCCCAGGCTGATTGACCAGATGGCCGTGAGCTGCCATGCAGGTGCTGGGAAACAAATACAGGTCCTCAGCCAGGCGGTGGTGGTGCATGCCTTTACTCCCAGCTCAGGAGGTAGAGACAGGCCTCTGTCAACAGAGTGAGTTCCAGGACAGGGTCCAAAGCTACACAGAGAAACCTTGTCTTGAAAAAACAAATATACATTCATACATCCTCTTAGAAGAGCAGCCGGTACTCTTAGCTGCTAAGACATCTCTCCAGGCCCTGGTTAGACCTTTAAAAATGTATTTTCTTGTTTGTATATAAATCAGAGGGCAACTTAAAGAAGTTTGCTCTCTCCTCCCACCAAGTGGGTGGGTCCTGGGGATCATACTTAGGTGTCACACTCGGTGGCAAACACCTTCACCCACGGAGTCATCTCACCAGCCCTTTCACTCAATTTTTAAAAATCATCGTTAAGATATTATCTCACTCTGAGTCCTAGAAGACTTGAAACCCTTCTGGGCAGCCAGTGTTAGCCTCAACTCACAACCCTCTCGTCTCAGCTCTCCTACTAGGCATTTCTACTGTTTTTAAACAAAACCAAACAAAAACTAAACAGGGTCTTATGTATCCCAGGCTGGCTGCCCTGGAATTCCCCACGTGGCTGAGGAGGACCTTGAACTCCTGCTCCTTCTGCACTACCTCCCAAGAGGTAGGATTACAGGTGTGTGCTACCAAACCCAGTTTATGCAGCACTGGGGAGGAACCCTGGGCTTTGTGGGGCCGGGCAAACCCTCAACCAACTGAGCCATGCTCCCAGCCCCTCACCCAAATTATATGCATCACTCAGTTCCGGAACTGTGGCCTTAAATACTTTGAGGATGGTAGAATAATCTTGGGTTGTTAGGTGGAAGAGTTCTTAGCAGGCCTTAAATAATAAATGGGGAAACTGAGGCAGGAGGCAAGGAAGGAATGGATTCTGAGAGACTCAGAGGCAGTAGGAAAAGTCTGTGGAGGGAGAGACAAGGGGTTATTCCGGTTCCTTCATATGAAAGGGAAGGGGTAGCTTCCAGGAGGCAGGGCCAAGGGCTTGTCGCCTGCTCCTAAACCTTGTGTGGTGCTCCAGATGCTGCTTTGGGTGGCACTCAAGGCCCTCTGACCCCCTCCGCAGGCACAGTAGTCACTTCTGTTGACACTTTAAGCACAGACAGTGGCAGAGGCCCCCTGGCCACTCTCCCCTCCCACCTCTCCACTCCAACTCACTCACCACCTCCTCTTCCATTTCCTGTTCGCCTTCTCCTCCACCCCTGAGGAACAGGGCCTTTTGCTTCTCGGCCATCTCATAGGTGGGCTGCATCTCAGGGTCATCCCGCAGAGTGTCCAGCTTGGGGTGGAACCATTCCCACTGCGTGTTGCGGTTCAGATGCTCCAGGATGGACAAGGGGTCCTCGGGCCGCTGGTTCAGGATCTTGGTCAGTAGGTTCACCAGGTGCTCATACCTGCTTCCCAGGAGGAGCGGGAGGTGAGGGATACCACTCACTCAGTGCACTGAGCTTGCTGTTTTGTACCTGTTCCTTTGTCTACTGCTAGGGACACAGGAGGACAGAAAATGTCCCTGCCCTGATGGGACTGACATTCTGATGGGTAAATATAGCCAGGATGAGGTACTAAGCCCTCCCTCCCCAACTTTTCTGTAGCAAGGTCGCACAATGTAGCCCACGATGGCCTTAAAGAAGAAACCTGACTTCATGACTTCTATTTAATATTGTTTAAGTGGCCATAGCCAAGGCAATAAGGTGCAAAAAGGGAAGGGGATTAAAATAGAATTTAGCTAATTCTATTTATTTAAAGGGAGTAAGATAGAACATGGATTACAATAGAAGAAGCAAAATTGTTTAGGCTTATGGACAATGCCTGGGATTGCAGGAAGATCCTGGGGAGGGGGTGTGCTTGGCATACTGGAAAAGATGGAAGTTTAGCCAGAACAGCATAAGGGAAGATTGAGAACAGAGAAGCCAGAGTAATAATAGGCTCATGGTGGCTTCCACCCACTCAGTCTAGGCAACATGCTGAGCATTCGAGGGCATTATTGAATTCTTGCAACAGTCACACACACACACACACACACACACACACTCCTCCAGATAAGGGAACTAATGCTTAGGAAATCTGAGGTCACGGCTCAGCACCCTTTGAAGCCAGGCTGTATCATCCCAAAGCATTTACACAAGCCTTTCTGCTGCCTGCAAACCAGTCTGAAGAGTCTCTAGTGTGGGGAGGGCCATGCTGATGCTGGGAAGGCAAGAGAGGAGGTTGACTGGGCAGCCCAGTGGTCAGGTGCTTGTCCAGCTTGCAGGATGCCCTGGGTTCAAGCTCTAATAGTGTAAAATAAATAACAGAAGTATCTTAGAGGGGCTGGAGGGATGGCCTGGTAGTTAAGAGCACAGGCTGCCCTTGCAGAGGACCTGGTTCTGTTCTTAGCACCCACAAGGCAGCTCACAACCATCCAGTTTCAGAGAATCCAATGATCTCTTTTGAAAGGCACTGAATGTATGTGATATAGGCAAAATACTCATACACTAAATATTTTTTTAGATTTAGATTTTACTGTATCTCTATATGCACAACTGTTTTGCCTGTATGCATGTACACCACATGCATGCCTGACACTTGCAGAGGTTATAAGGTGCTGGATTCCCTGGAGCTGAGCTGCCTTCTGGGTGCTGGGAACCCAACCTGGGTCCTCTGCAAGAGTAACAAATGTTGTTAAAGATTTTTTGACTATGTATACAGTGTTCTGCCTGCTTGTATGCCTGCACGCTATAAGATGGCACCAGATCTCATTGTAGATGGCTGTGAGCCACCATGTGGGTGCTGGGAATTGAACTCAGGACCTCCAGAAGAGCCGCCAGTGATCTTAACCTCTGAGCCATCTCTCCAGTCCCTAAATTAATATTTTAAAAATCTCGAAAAGGCTGGACAGACAATTCTGTGGTTTAGAGTTCATATTGCACTTTCAGAGAACCGGAGTTTGGTTGCGAACACCTATGTCAGGCAGCCCACAACAGCCTACAAATTCCAGTTCCAGGGGATGCAATGCCCTCTTCTAGTCTCCAAAGGCAGCATGTGAACACACACACACACACTCACACACACACACAGTTAAACAGATAAAAATGAAACCTTGGAAAAAGAAGAAGTGAGACTGGCCAGGGCATTTCAGGAAGAAAACTTGAAGCTCTCAAGACTGCAAACGTGATGGCAAAACACATACAGGTTAATTTGGACTGGATCTGGGGCCTGAGGTAGAGACAACTAAGTAATGAGTGGAAATTGTGCGTGGGCAGGAGCCACAACAGGTTCCTAGCACAGGGGGGATGGAATGGGCTGTGTGCTTTAGCCAGCCCTCCACGGTGGTCCCAGACATAGCCGCACCCTTCAAAGACCTGGCTGTGCCCTCCCCATCTCTGGACCACTCTTCCTCTTGTTCTGTGCAAGGTGCTACCCCCTGGTCCCTCCGTGTTGCCACTTAAGCCCTTCTCATCGACCATGCTGTGTTCAATATTAATATTTCATTTTCTATAACATAACTAATGGGAGAGGGAGGGGACCATGTCTGCAGCTCAGTGACAGATAACCACCCTCCTCAGACAGGCAAGTTAGGAGACAAGAAGAGAGCTCTGTGAGCCGGAGGCCTTGTTCGACAATGCTGGCTCTACCACTTCTTGGCTGTGTGATTTTAGATAAGCAACTCAACCTCTCCTGTTCAGTCTCATATCGAAACAGGCTTAGTGGCTGTGTGAACCTCTGCAGCTAGATGCTAGGAGTGGGGTGTGCAGGCACTGAGACTGTTGCTACTCCTTCCTCAATTCTCTGCTAGGTTACAGGTTCACAGAGACCCCACACCCAAGGCAGTCTTGGCTAGGGCCCTTCCCAGCCTGCTGTCCACCTTCTCCACCCCCAACCTCCTCTCACAGGCTGAGGTTGCAGTTCACGCTGGTCTGCAGCAGGTAGGCCTTGGCGTTCTGCACTGCCAGCTCACGGGGCTGGGGGTCAGGCACCTCTCCGACGAAGGGCATGAAGCCCAGGTCAGAACGCCCTACATGGAGAGTGGGGTCGTCCCTCAGGTATGGCCCGTGCTGCATGGTCTGGTCGAACGGCTGGTCCTCTCGTGGGAACATGTTGAAGTGGCTCAGGAGGCCGGCACCCGGGTCCTGGAAGTCGGTATCTAGTTGTTCTAAGAGGCCCTCGCCCTGAGGAAACTGCTGCATCGTTCTGTTCTCATCCAGGTAACCCTGTGGCGAGAACTCCAATGGAAAGCCTGGTGGGTAACTTAAGCTCATGGACCGGTTATACTCTGTGCCTTCCTCGCCCTGGTTTTCTGGTGTCAGGCTGGACCTCTGTGACCACTGCGGCACGCTAGTTGACTGCTGGTCCTGGCTGCCCTGACTGCTCCGACTGCCCCGACTGCCCCGCTGTGTAGGTCTGGGCACCCCATCCTCAGGGATGGACACCAGAGGCTGCGAGGAATCTCGACTGCGTGCCCTCTCTGAAGCTTGAGAAGCCCTCCGGCTTTGGGACGAGGGATAGGGGTTGGGCGGTGGCTCGCCCATGTCTTGAAAGTGTGTGGATCTGTGAGAGGAAGGGTAGCTAGTGCTGGCGGCGCCTGCACCCTGCTGCCGTTACATTACGAGCGCGGGGCGCCTGCAGGGTGGGAGCTGAGAGTGCGCAGGCGCAGTCTAGCACTGCTCCGACTTCAGTTTGTAGTCTGCTGCAAAGAGGACACAGCAGCCATGCGGCACCTCCTTTATTTGTGTTAAGGCAAAGCTCTAGGTGGCCCACCCCGTCCCTCCCCCCAAACCCCCGCAGCTGTCAGCTGTTCCCCTTGTTCTCGGTTTCCCTGGCCTCTGGGCTGGAGGTCGTCAAGGATTCCTCCACTGCGTGGTTGAGGCTCTGGGGGCTTCGCTCATCCTTGGAGCTCGGTCCGACTGCTGCTGCCTCCTGGTGGCGGGAGAAGGCAAGAGGCAGCAGGTCAAGAGCCGATTGCACCGTTAGTCCCATACCCGGGGCTCTCTGCTCCAGCCTCCCTCTGCAGCTCTAGCTGTCCCCCTACCTTAGGCAGGGGACCCTCAAGACTAGAGTCCAAGAGCGTAGTTTCGGCCAGCCCTGAGTCGTCGTCCATGCTGATGAAGATGGCCGGGGTCTCGCATTCAGGACCCTCCTCCCGGTATTCCATGGCCTCCTCAGTAGGGGTGGGACCAGTTCGGGCTGCCGGCACCGCGGGCATGGAAGATGCCGAGGCAGCAAGTGCTCCCACACCTGTGGGCTTCAGCTTCTGCTCCTCCTCCAGCTGCCGCTTCAGGGCCTTCTCCTGAGCCAATCGCAGGCCGATGAGGTCCTGAGGGGGCCGCGGAGCAGGGGCCGGGGCTGGGCCCAGAGCCAGAGCCAAGGGCTCTAGGTCATCCTGGAGTTGGAGGGGTACTCAGCTCAGGGAGGGAGGCCGGTCCCCCAACTCCCAGGATGGAGGAGACGGAGACCACCAACTTCAGAAAGCACTGCAGTTTATCCATCTGGACATGGGGGTGGGGTATGGGGTGGCTATTCCCCTTTACCAGGAATACAATCTTGGGAGACTGTGGGTTTAACAACTGGGCCTCTTGGGGTGAGAGACACAGGCAGGTGGGCCACATTGCCCTCACCTCTTCCAGGGGCCCTGCAGGTGCTTCCTTGACTTCGGGTTCCTGCTTGCCGCTTGCCTCCAGGATGGTCATGATGGAGTTGGGGATGTGTGCTTGCTAGGCAAAGGGAAGGCCAGGACCCGAGATGTAGAGAGCTCTGGCCAAAGGCACCTCTCAGCACCCTATAACCCATAACTCAAACCCTTCTGCTCGCTTGGCTCCACTCCGCCGCCCAGGTACCTGGTGGGGAGTGAAGGAGCGCACGTGGGCCAGCAGCGGCTCCCGGAGTTCAGGGCACTTGTCAAAGACCGCGCTAAGTTGCTGCGGAGGTAGCTGCAGGATGACCTGGAAGCTCTGCGGCTTGGTGCGCTGGCAGCACTTGATGAAGCCCTCCCATACCTTGGGGTACTTCCACACCTGTGAGGTGGGAGGGGACCATTAGGCAAAAGCCCAAGCAGCCACCTCCTTCCCGCAGACACTGCCATGGCTGAGAGCCCACGTGCCACCACCTGACAGCATACTCCAGGCTTCATACAGCCACCTGCCCAGGAATGCCTTTCTCACCTAGGAAACTGTACTAGGACATAACCCAGTGAAAGGGGGTACCCCACCCCCAATGCCTAGGACAGTACAGTACCAAGTGCTAGGACAGCACCACCTCATGCTGTCCTCTCAGCCACCTCTAGCTGGTGCCGTCACACTTAATAGGGTGGAGGTGCAGGGACCTTAGCTAGATGCTGCACAGGACAGCCTGTGAACGGAACCCAGCTTTGGGACGGAGGATGGAACCTGATTATCTCCACAGAGTAGTTCTAAAAGTTGGGGGTGCTGTATGCTTGAATCCCAGCACTTGGAAGACTGATGGAAGAGGATCACAAATTTGAGTTCTTGGTTATTCTGGACTATAAAGTAAGACTCTCACTAAAATACCCCCCCCCAATTGTGGTCTCTATAGAGAAGCGATGCTTTCAGTTGAGCTATGTGCCCCGCAGGGCCTAGGGGTGCGGTAAAGGGAGACACCCACATCTCTCTGATCCCTGTTTTCATTGGTCACCCTGTAGTCAGTTGGAAGAAGTTGAGGGAACACTGCGAGAGGCAGGGTAGGTGATCCAGAGACAGGATCCTGCTCCCCAGGCAGCTGAGACTTGCCCCACTGTGGCCTCAGGCCAGGGCAGGTTACCTGCTTCATGATGAGTCGGGCCAGGATGTTCATGACGAAGCCCCCCAGGCGGGGGTACATGGTCAGGGACTGGATGACGGTCCGCATGAGCAGCATGGGCAGGGGGCTTTGCTCCATCAGCTGCTGCATCACCACAGCTAGCACCTCCGATGTGTACACATTCCGCTCCGCAAAGCACAGGTTGGTGGCTGTGAGGAGGCGGAGAGTGGGCCTGTCCTCTCTGCCTGGATGTTCCCCCGTTAAGTGGAAACCCCACCCCACATAGCTTCTCCATCCCTACCACAAAAGACCCTTTATGAGGATGCTCAACGGTCCTGCCCCCAGAAGATATAGGTAGGTGTGTCCAACCCCTAGATACTCTGTGGCGCCCCAACTGGGAGACTCAGCCTCCTCCCTGAGGGCAGCCCTGGGAAGTGGGGTAGAGAGCATGCTCCAGAGCCTGAGCCCTGGGGCCTGTCATAGCCTAAGAAGGGTGGCTAAAACCCACCAAGGGGAGGGGCAAGAACTGCTGACACCCTGGCATCTACAGAAAAAAGTTTGGTCTCTGCCAGAATGCTGACCAAAGAGGTTAGGGTCTGTGATGGGGCAGGGCAGATATGACAAGGGACACTTAGGAGAAAAACTGCGAAGGGAGCAGTAAGAGAGTGGTGAGGGCTCAACCCAAGATGAGGACCCAACTGAGTAGCCAGCACCCACAGGATGTGGGAAGATGTCACACTGAAAAGCACGGAGCAGACCTTGCTTGGGGTCTAGCTCCTGGGAGTGGGTGGCAACATCAGGGCCAACCGGGCTGATAGGTGATCCCAGGAGCTGCCTCTGAAGTCCTTCCCCAAACACCACTGGCCATGTGAATGTGTCAACCAGGAAGTCTTTATTGAGCCAGAAGAAAGGGTCCCCCCACCCCACAAGTCTGAGGGGCCAATAGAGGGGAGGGTGGTCCTGTAAGGAGGAGGCCCTAAGAGAGAGGAGTGGACACTGTAGAAGATGCACAGGCTGCAAGGCAGAAGAGAGAAGCCTGCCAGAACCTGAGGAGGGGTCTGCTCCTCTATGCAGACGTGCCCCAGTGCTACCCAAAGGGGCCCAGTCTCTTCTTGCACTTACCACTCAGCCTCTCACTCTTTCTACTCGGCAGCCCAAAGTGTCCTCCATCCTAGAGGCTGCATGAGGCCAAGGCCAGTTTCTCTCTCACCTGGAAGCTCTACTTGGTCCTAGCTCTGACCAGGTTCAGCTCACTATCACCTCATCCCTGTGGGTCCTGCTCTGGACGGACCCACTTCAGCACGTCCTTCCCGAGTCCCAGCTAGGCTGGATCAGGGACGTCAGTGTCCCAACCGTGTACCCTGCACTGTGTTGGGAGGGCAGGATTACACAGGAGCAGACAGATGAGATGTAGTGAGGGCTGTGGGAAGCTGGGGCCCAGCAAGCCAAAAAGGGGATTGTACTGTACAAGGTAGACCCCTGTCTACTAGCCACCTGTGTAGCTTTTGTCAGGCCTCTTTCTTCCCTCTGTGACTGGACTTCTATTCTGGATCCAAGACGGCTGTGTGTGCATGTGCATGTGTCTCCAATTTCTGCACAGAAGCAGGATTGCTCCCATTGCACCTAAAGTGAGGGTTTGGTAGAGCACTTGCCTGGCACACCTGAAGCTCCCGGTCCACTCCCAGCATGGTAAAAGGTCAAAGAAAATGTGTGTGCGTGTCCAAAGTCCACAACCCTGGACCACAACTTTTGAGACCTGTCCCTGAACCCTTCCCCTGGGCCTGCAGCCTCCTCTGTCCTGTCTTCACAGGCCCATCCCGTTAGGACTGTTGAGGAAGAAAAGCAGTCCCTGGAGAAGCTACTTCACCCAGAACAGGAAACGCGGAAGGACAGAGAGAGAGGCCCAAGTAAAAGTGAGCAGAGGTTGGAGGACAGGATGACAGGAAGGGCCCCATCCTAGGACAGAGCTGATGCTGGCCCAGAAATCTCTGGGGAAGGGAAGAAAGAAAGGAAAATGGGGTGTCTTCGCAGGGGAGGCTGGGTTGGGGTCCAGTTGGGCTCAGGCTGTGTTACACAGCTAGCTTCTGTGAACATTGGGCCCTAATCTACACCATACTTACCAAGAGCCTCATGAGTGCCAGGAGTGGGCTTATGGCAAGAAGGGAGAGCCTGGCTCAGAGGGATGCTGAACAGCCAGGGCAGAGGGGCCTGCCAGACTGTCACCAAGCCCCCGCTGTGGGGGTCCTCTGTTGCCTCAACTCAGGCCTGGCTTCTGCTCATGCTAACAGAGGCCCTTGAGCCTCTGGCTTGCTCCATGGGCTCCACTTCCTTGAGTTCCTCAGGGTAGGGTGGGAGGGACAGCCCACACTGATGTCAAGGCCAAGATGGGGTAGGCACAGCAGTGGGTGATGTCTTCAATCCAGTGGAGTCATGCAGGGACTGAGGCCCCGCCTGAAGTCCATGGGAGCTGGGCCATGTAGGGACAGGGGCGTCTCACCTTTGATGATGGATTTCATGTCACACTTCACAGAGTCAATGTTGTGCAGTGCAATCAGCAGCTCTCCCGGATTCAGGGGGGACAAGGCTGAGTTCCCTTCACCTGCAATGGATGGCAATAGGGAAGGGAGATAGTACAGAGGTGGGTCTCAGCTCAGACTTGAGGAATACTAAATACAGATAAGACACCCTCTGCTTCGTGAGGACTGGGTGACAGAGGGTGAGACTGCGTGAGGTGGCCATAAGTCTTCACCACTCTCCCCCTCCCACCTTGTGAGAG